ACTCTCACTCACTCTCTCTCTCTCTCTCTCTCTCTCTCTCACTCACTCTCTCACTGCGACTGATTCCAATTTCTTCTCCTCCTCCTCACTTTGACTGATTCCTTACATCTTCTTCCTTTCTCTCTGACAGATTCCTGACTCCTATATACCCATATCTTATGTAGCTACTTTTAAGTGTGTGCAGGTGTAAGACGGGTTTGTAGCGGGAGTCCGTTACTATTCTTATCTTTCTTGACGATCTCCCAGAATATATTGAATGTGATCTACCATTCTATTTTGTAATCAGATTTGTTTCTATACAAAAATAATGCAATCTAATTCTGACCTTCTTGTTTCAGGAAAGGAGAACATATGGAGTGGAGAATTAGGAAAAAGAAATTCCAGGTATAATAGAAGCATATAAAATCAACTTTACAGTGGTTACGGGTTATTCTTTGCAGAAATATGCCCTCTGTCTGAGCGGAAAATAAATACCTTAATGAAGAAGTCGTCCCGGTAAAAAGAGAGAACGGATATACTGCTATGAAAGCCTGATGAGCTCAAGATTGGGAACCTTTAGGTAAGTCAAGTGGGCAAAATCTAATGAAAAGCAATTCCGCATTGGCGGGAAGTCAGTTTATTACGACACCTTTCTTCCGGTGAACATAACAATTTTTCCAACAGAGTGAAGGATATTAAATTAAACTTGGCAACTTGTTTTTCCTTTCGCCGGTGTGTCAAGTTATATTAAACTTGGGGTAAACCCTCCAGTACCCTTTTTAGGAGAGTTTCTCATAGTTTTCCGTATTATTAAAACTCTCAGAAAATTCCACTGTCGCGGTGAAACGTCAAAATTAATTACAATTAATTAAGGTTTTTAGTTGAGATAAAAAAGTCAATGGCACGAATTGAAGTCAAAATTAATATTGTGGCGCTCGCCATTCGGCTTCTCGATCTACCTAATTAAATGACGGCAAACATGTTGGCAGTCGAGGGAGGACAGGGCTAAAGTTTAAGTCACTTGGTACGACGTTTGCAGTTCATATTTCAAATTAAGTGTCGAAAAAAAACTTAAAAAAATATAGTGAGCAGTCTATGCTCCATCATGTAACTTATAATTAACTGATTTATAAATTGTTAACCCTAAGTTCTGAACGAATAAAATTAATAACCGATACCTTAGGGAATGATTTGGATTGTTTTTAATCTAAGTAATTAATCAGAAATCGTAAGATGCGGTCTGGTGTGATGTAGGTTTCAGAAAAACATTTTCTTTATCGTGCCAACGTTTCGATCTTTATTGAGATCATCTTCAGTGCTTAAAGTGTTTGTCTTCTGTGTAATTGTGTCATTCTTGCGTGTCGTGTTGAGAGTGTCCGTGTTTAATCTAATGATTTACTTCCTGCGCCTGACAGAACAAGCGATTATAAGCAGAAAAATTGTTTTTCGTTGTTTGACTTTCACATGTCATATGACCCCGTCAACAGATCTTATCTTTATGAGAAAACTTGAGTATACAGCAATTGATCTCTTTGGTAAGAATGTGTCTGACTAGTGCTATAGAAGAATGACCGAGTGTGATTTTCAATGGATTTCCAGACCAGTCCTCGCCATAGGTCGATATCGTCCCTATTTTTTTTTAAACATTTCTGTTTCTAGTGCAGTCCGAATCAGGCTGAGCCGTCCAAAGATCTGTGGAGGCTTCGGCTCAGGGACGTTGACTTTCACTATAAACGAGAAAATTTTGCAGAGGTAGTTAAGTCCTGTGGGCATTTTGGATGGGAATGCAAAATGGCTTTCCATTTTATATTATATTTTATTTCCATATTATAGCCAAGCCATATAGTTGGGTGTAAAACTTCCCATTATATGCGATGCACGTTGATGAGCAGCAAAATTCAAGTATCTCCAGGAACAATTGTTTGGGTATGTTGGTGTGTTCCTGGATAATGGTCCATTTATCTTCAATTGTTGTAGTGGCAGTATCCAGTGGTACGTTGGTGAATAGTGAGACAGCATCGAATGAAACCATCACATAGCCCTCCGGTACCCTGAGTCCCCTAATACTGTCAATAAACTCGTATGTGTTTTTGCAGTCATACGGATTATTGCATGCTAAACTCTAGATAGCTGGAAGGATGAACATGCTCAAATTAACCGTCGCTGATTCGTTCGTACTGACTGTGGGCCTGAGCTTTTTCCCGGGTTTGTGGTTTTCGGCAGTCCATAAATTCTACTTGGGACGGCATTGTATCTTATGAGTTTGTAGTACTCAACTTTGTTTATGTGGTTGCCTTGTAGTAGTCCTTTGCAAAGTGCATTGCTTTTTGACTGTGTTTGCGTTGTTGTGTCCTTTTTGATTTCTATGTAAGTTTGTCAATGCGACAGTATTTCCTCCATCTGCTGCTTATATTGTTGCGTGTCCATGAGTACTGTCGAGTTACCTTTGTCCGCTCTGGTTAATAAGATTTTGTCGGCATTATCTCGTAGAAATTTATTAGTGTTTTTTAGTGCATTTTTGACGTTACGGGATAGGACATAGGGCCTTTTATTATTGGACTTGCAGTGGTTGGTGTGGTTTGTTATGATGTTGGTGATCTTATTTCTTGTTAAGTTCCTTCCCTCCTCATCCCCAATTATGGACGATATAATGACTTCTGAGTCCACACTAATTCTGGGAATGTATCTCTTGTATAAGTTGTCAGGAATACTAAATTTGGGGCCAAGACTCAGTACAAGTAGAACATCTTCAGGCACATCCACGCTAGATATGTTAGACACCCAATCCTTGTTGCCCTGTGGGTCGATAACTTGACTTTGCCATTTAGGTCGGTTGTTCAGTGAAGGGTTTATTATGTGTTCAAATTTCTTTTTGAGCCTCTCTTTTTTGTCCTTTAAGGTTTTTTTTTAGGCCGACTAATACAAGGACATTAACTCTGCTTCACAAACAAGCGATTAAATCTAAGAGGAACCCAAGGATGTCTAAAGTCCTTAGTGCCGCCACCAACGATCATTTCCATCCCACCCATAAAACAATGCGCTGGGTCGATGAAAAGGGAAAATAATGAAAATATTATAAATATATTAGAAAAGTCCCATTGTGTCTGGATGCAACTGCATTAAAATAACACATTTGCAAGAAGTAACTCCTTCCTCCAGGATAAACCAGGAACTTAGTATAAAGGTATTCGTCGGCTTAGAACTTTGGGATAGTCCTTGATCAGAGAAAATTACGCCCTTTCTGTTCATAAAAGCAGGTTGTTCATAAGCCATGGCAAGAAATACTCGTTGATTGAGTAGATTTGTGGTGATGGTTAGGCCACGTGGCAGGGGTTTATAGTGCAAAATACCTTAGAATAGCTTTTAGAAGTACGGGTTCACTTAAAAACATCCTCTCAATACCTAACGACAAGGTAGACAACTTGACAAAAAGCGGGATTTACCAACATAATCGTAATGATTTTGATATTAAATATATAGGACAAAGCGGTAGAGAAATAAAAACGAGAGTAAAAGAACACTTGTCTAAATCGAACAAATTTTTCGGAATTTAAGGACCACCTAAAAGAAACAAAACGTAATTTCAATTCAAATTTAAATACAACAGTGTTACATACTTTCAACGAAGGGAGAGAACTAGATTGGTTTGAGAAATTTGAAATTAAAAATGTAAAATTGAATGGAGATAAATGCATTAATAACAGATTCACTAATTTCGTGGTCCTCTTGACCAATACATTACAATTAATTAAGGTTTTTAGTTGAGATAAAAAAGTCAATGGCACGAGAGGGATTCGAACCCACCATCTTCGGCTAGATACGCCGCTGCTCTACCACTTGAGCTATCGTGACCTCGATCCTCTCGGACATTAACTTCCCATCTCAACCCCACCTTTTGATTTCCCCTCCTTTTTGCCATTTTTCGAATGTCGTGTAATCGTCGAGAATCCAATCCGATTACACGGCATTTGAAAAAGGAGGGAAAATTCAAAAGGTGGGGTTGATATGGGAAGTTAGCGTCAGAGTGGATCGAGGGCACGATAGCTCAAGTGGTAGAGCAGAGGCGTATCTAGCCGAAGATCGTGGGTTCGAATCCCGCTCGTGCCATTGACTTTTTTATCTCAACTAAAAACCTTAATTAATTGTAATTAATAATAGATAGATTTTGATTTACCTCCCATTTTAAATATGTACATAAATAATATTAAACGTCCAAATAATTAAATTAATTATTTTAATTGTTATTATTTTTATAATAATTTAATAATATTAAGGTATTATTATATTTTTTATCTTTTATCTTTACTCATTAATTTATAATTAATTTCTTACAGTATTTACCATTATTATATTTACTTGTGTTATAATTCCCGCTTTTCGCACGTTCAAATTGAGCGCCATTAAACAACAGCTCTTCATTGGAAGGTCGCGTTGGCGGGGTTCTATTTTACAATTCGTGTCGAGGGACGTGGTTGTAAAAATCCTTCAACCTGATGATGAGCTAAAGAGCTCGAAATCCGGATCGTTCGAAAACTACTTACTGTGAGTAGGAGCTATCTTTTTAAAAAAAGGATTGAACACCGCACTCACTCCATCGTTCAACCCCGTACTATGCCCGCCGTACTCCTTTAAAAACAAAGCATCACTTTTTGTTGATGAGTATTTCGTTTTCTCGTCAATAGGACAGAGTCGTTTGTCGACTGCCAATGGTAAGACATCCTGGGTGCTAATGTATTCATTTTTCGTCCCATGTGTCAAAAAGAGCCGGTCGAAAAATCTCTGTATTTTGTGCTGTGACAGGAATGAAAGGCAAATGTATAGACGTAAAAACTTGTTACCGTCGGTCAATTTAGGAGGATCCCATTTCTCAGCTTTCACGACTTCCCAAGTCGATATAAGCTAGGGTGAATGGTTTCATCACTTACTGAAGTAGTCATTATTCAAGGAAATCAAGTACGGAATTTATTTATCAAACGTATTTAATAAACGGTAAGAACAATAATCACCAGTCCTATACTGTAATCACTAGGATACAATAGCTCTCAAAGGGCGCAGTATACTACACCCTGGAACCATATCTTAATCACCCTCCAAATTCACTTTATTAAAGTACAAAAGCTACACTTACGTTGAAACTCCTGACATGTTTGATTCGAACCAATTCGATAACTTCCCTCAATACGATGTCATTCAAGACGGAAGGTCGACCAGAACTTGATTCACCTTCAATCCCCTCATTCCTAGAAACAAAGTTTTTGAACGACTTTTGGCCAGAGGATTCGCTTCGTTTTTCATCCCCGACTATACAATATTTTCATGGGTAGTTGAATTAAAATTGTGTATAACGTAACAACGTGAAAAGTCTAAAAGGGAGTGGTCGAGGGTGGGTTTTAATTTTTTATACACAGACTTTCGGGGCCATTGTTCGTAAAACAAATTAGTCCATTCCGTTTTACCAGGATCAGTTTATTTCTTTCAGCTTGCTGTGATTGTTTCAATTTCGTTCTACAATGAAAAATGAATTAATTAAGTTAACCGGCGAACAGTAGTCATCATTTTTCCCGTCTCGTAGAGATTGGC